AAGTACCTATTAAACGAAAATCGTATGTTTATTAAAATATAGATTATAAAAATATACTATTAAAATTATTGATTACCAATTTTGTTGTTGTGATTTTTCAGAGCACATATTGGAAATTTGAAAATTATTGAGATTATCATATTAATTTTACAGTTTTAAGATAATTATTATATAATTTTGAAAAAACTGAGCAATCATTTTTTAACATTGATATATTCAATTTTTTATCATAACATATTATTATTTCTATAGTAAATATTATATAACTAGAAATATACCTTTATTCGCTATATTATTATTTATCCATTTTTTGAAGTTCCCATTTTTATTAATTAATTATTTTGAATGTTTTTATGTCTTTTTTTATTGATCTTGTAACTACTGTTACACTTCTTCGTTCTCTTTGTACTTCCACGTTGGTGCTCATTCACTTTAATATCGATTACTTCAAACGGCCCAAGCCATAATTGGTGTAGATTATTATTATTTTTTAGGGGTATTTTATTTTAATAATACTAAATCTTTTACATATATAAATACAAAATTTTCTTTCTTATCCTTCTTTAGTTAATATTTTTTTTTTGTTAATTTTAATTTTTTTCTTCTAGCATGCAACAAACCTCACTTCTTTTCATAATTATTGTACCGTCAATTGTTGGTCGATCGGACTCACAACGTTATTAAAAATAAAATCGTGTTATGGTATTAAAACTGTAGGTATCTCCTTGTACTGCAACGTTAATCGATATTTTGACGAGTACCGGAACAATAGTTTAGTTGAATAGAACACACATATTTGGCTGGGTTCATATTAAATTTTAAATTGGATTATAAAAATGTTCAACTTTTTTTCTTCAAAATGTATTCTAATTTAGAATATAAAACAATATAATATGTGAAGTTGGTTATCAATAAAAATAATTATAAGACTAGTAAATCACTTTTATTGAAATGAGTATAAAATTATTATTTTTAAAATATATTCTATATTATATTATAGTGTATTTTATGTTTCTATATCATTTAGCGTCATGTCTAGTTAAAATTCAAATAACACAAACATCACTCAAGGTAATGGTGTGGTTTGCTATTACATGAACCACTCTGTATGTAATTATGTTATTATAACGGGCATATTTTTCTATTTTATGCTTGTCACAATATGTCTACTATGATAATGGAAATAATATTTAATTGATGTTAGAACTGCAAATATAAACACGATATAACTCTAATATAATCTCTCGGGATCTTTTGTTTCCATTTTTCATGTGATGCCCGTTACTGAGAGGTTTCAAACGTAACAAGGATAAGATCACGTCTTTGGGGCTCATATGACGTGTAAGGTGGCTATTCAGTATTGAATATGCATAATATGTTCTTTTGTACTTTTTTTAGAACAAAATTAATTTATCGTTTTAAATTCTGAATAGAGTGATGTATGTAATGATATGATATTTTATTTTTTATCGCGTATAAATACGTATACAATAAATTGTCGATAAAATACTTAGGTTTTTGAAAATGGTGGTGATTTTGGATATCAATTTGAATCTAGTTTGAACTTTGATTAGGTCGAACTCAAAATTTCGCAATACTTATTTTTATGATTGGAAAAATTAAACAAAAAATTAAGAGAAAACGAGAATTTTCACGTGAATCCAATTTTTCGAAAAAATTAAATACTTATATTTAAATTTAAATACTTAAAATTTCACCAAATGCTAACATTATTATTTTCTATGTATGAATATATTTTCAATATATTTCCACTTTTTTGAGCTATTTATAGATATAAGACTTTTTTTTATAAATATCGATTAAAAATTATTTATTGAGTAGAAATACTTGAAAGTTTAAAAAAAAAGATCTTACAAAAGATATTCTCAATTCTGTAAAAAATATTAAAATACATATAGGCATAAAAGATGTTAATAAATATGAGTTATTAAGTTGATATAATATGGTATATATATTATATATATTTAATATTATAATAATTAATATTTTCAGAAAGTTATTTTACCAACCTATTATAATAGTAAAAGTAAAATAAGTAAAAAAAAAATCATTATATAAATATAAACAGACCGTTTTTGTTAAAAATCATTTTTCGTATTCAATGATTTATCATTAAATTCATATTTAACACATCTATAATAATGACCCAATTAACACCTAATGTACAGAAAAGATGTACTCGCCTATCTTTTTAAAGTTGTACTTGTATCATATTGTTAGGTATATAAATTTTTATTTTATATGTATACACTGTGCTAATATAATATTATATACTTATCTAATTAATTAAATATAATTATAAAAATATACTACTGAGATAATTTCTGATTATCATTATTTAAAGTTTAAATAATTATAATTTATTTTGTATTTCGGTATTTATTTTGGCGTCTGTACGCATATGTATAATTATTTACTTATAAAGGTACTGTATTGTTATGTAATTTATAAACAATTTATACATTGATATTTAAATTTCATTCAACGTTTTAGTATTTTGTTTTAAATTTAATAACTGTCGTATTATAAAGTTATGTGTAGTATATATAGGTATGTAACGTACCCAAGTATATTTTGTGAAGAGAGAGGAGTGGTACAATACTCAATAATTACTTTTAGATTCTGAGGGGAGCGATGAATCAATGCATTTACAATGATGTATGTGCTTTTCATGATTTGAGGATGGTTTCTGATAAAACATTGAAACTTATTTTTACTTATAAGTTATAACAGAGGTAAGGTTAGGTTATATTTTTTTTTAAATAATCTGGAAAAATAAACAAAAAATTAAGGTAAAATGGGAAATTTTTAATCAAATTAATTATATTATAGTTAGCGGCATTACCGATGTGTGGTAAACATCGTATTTCTTCATTTTAATAGGCTGCTACACTCTCTGATATATGATTTCCCATTTTCCTAGATTAGAGGTTCTACAAAATTGCTAACGCTCTTGTTGTTATTGTAAGTAATGTAATTTTCAAAAATATAAATAGCTAGATCATAATATTTGCAATGTTAGTGGAAACTTAAATTATAATTTAATATTATAATATGTAATATTATATTCGTGTAATATAGCTAATTGTAATTTTAATTATTATTTTACAACATATTATTTTGGCAATAACCCCGAAGTTAGCTAGTATTTTCAATAAATTGATGTGTCCATAACAGTATCCACGTACAAGTATAGTTTACTTTATAACTATCATAAATATGTTTTATGTAAACAAGCGCTAGAAAATGTAAGAGTGATGAATGGCAACTTTGAAGTTATAGTGAGTAAGCTCGTATATGTAATATTTGACTCGATAATATTAGAATAATATTTTTTTAACAAATTATTAAGCTCTCATTTATTAAAGAATAAAATGATAACTTTTGAAAGTATCTATAATTGAATACTACACTGAATTCTTATAATTTACAACAGGATCTATAAACCTCCTAGAATTACAATTTAGAATCAGTGAGGGACAATTGTATGTATGCTAAGACCCACCGATCCTAAGTTTAGTTGTCACTAGAGGCATATCTTAAAGTTGTGTTATACGCCTGTAATGTACTTAATTACTAATTTGTCACTGTGTCAATTTCTGCAAGTTTAATCATTTTGATAATTGATATTCTTGTATTGCTTTATTTGTACGATTTATTATAGTATTATACGGTACAAAGTCATAGTCCATTAAATATCAGACATCGGCTACCAGGGTCAATTTCGGATTCAGCTAGTTCTGGAATGTTTTTTGATTAAAAATTAATTGCAATTAGGTATATACGAAACTGGGCGAAGCATTATTGAAAATGGTTGTTGGTTGATAAAATACATAGTTTTTAGCCAATTGCCTGAACAATAATTGTGAATGTGTTTTTTTTTTTTAACCTACGTCATCTAATTGTGATGTCGAAGAAAATATAGAATTAATTATAATGAGTTAGGTAGACTGGATTTGAGTTTCTTTCAAAACCATAACCACCAGTTATTGGAAGATGTAGTTATATATTAAGACTGACTGTTGTGTGTTCTACGGAAGCTCGTTGTGTTATTTGTAGTTCTAAAAATTGTTTAGTAATGGTTGAAGATTTTAAAATCATTGTTATCCATAATAATTATAATTGGGTAATTTTTACAAAAATATTAAATATAACACTCGTGTTGTACGTTTGTTATATAATTTTATAATTGATTGTTAACAAACGCTAATGAAAAGTTAGTGTATAGGTTATACTTTATATTTTACGGTAATTAAATATATATATCGATTTTATAGTATTAAAAAATGTTTTATATTTGTAGATACAAAATTTACCACATAGATCTGAAACATAAAATAATATACACATTCTATGTTCAATAATATTTTTAGTTTTTTTACTTTATGAGTAAAAAAAAAAGTACAAACACTAAAAATGATCAATTGAATAAGTCTTATAACAAGAAGTTTTGGCCAGAGGGAAAATATTTTTTTTTGAATAAAACCTTGAGTTACTTATGGTTATTGCACCCAAAGATACGGTAAAAATACGATCCGGGCAATGTCACGTGAAAAATAAAAAGACATACAAACGATCACGATCGTCGTGTTGTATAGGGAAAAGGCAAAAAGGGTACGTTAGCAATCGTGTATATATCACAGATATAAAACAATCGTCTGTCGTCGTTTCCATTATACATAGAAAAAACGAACGTCGTGCGTAGGTATGACTCGACTTTTTGATTCCATGGCTGTTTATTTTCCCAAACGTTTTAATACACCAACGAGTGTTGTTTCGTGCGCAAAGTGGGTCGATAAAACAAAAATATCACAAAAATACGCGTAAAACAATAAATACGAAAAAAGTAAATTATGGTACGCGACATATGTTTCTACACACCGCGCATAAGTAGATCATATTATAATGATATAGATAGTTTGTAACAACAATAATATTATATACAGACCGTATCACACTTGTCTGACGACGTTCGTACCTATACGCGTATACTATATTATAATGTTATGTATATAATTATGTATTATTACCAATTATAATGTTGACGACGAAAACGCGGTTAGAACCTAACGACATAGTTCAAAAGCTACACATTACGCAAACCTACGACGGACTTTGCTTACGTGTACTTTAGTGTGTCCGTATCCTAGTTTCACCGTGGAGATTCCTGTGCTGCCGCTTCTTTTGGAGTTGCGTTCGTTCGAGTAATATACAATATTTACGATCGTACAGGTACCTAACCCTGTCGACGACCGCGTAAACCTTTGCACAGAAACGTGACGATGTTATTTCATTTTGACAGTTCGTCGTCGTAAATTAAATGTGCCAAAAACGTGATTTTGTTTCAGTTATGCTATTATAATTAATAATTATTATTGTAATTGGACGGGTATTAAGCATCGTCTCCATGGCCGAAGTCAAGTACAAGTTCGAAGCCGTGATGATTGTCTCCGGAGCGTTCATGTTGCTGACCATGTACAATCTGCCGGTATCCAGTTACTTCAAAGTAATAATATATAATATAATACGATATTACGCTGTGGTTCTTTGTTCAATCAAATAATATTCAACAGCGATTTCGTATGGGGGAAAAAGACTAAGGGGCTATACTGCTATAGCTTACCCTGTTGAACGTATTATTGTATTTTAATTTATATATATTTTTTTCATATAATATATGTTATATAATACAATATGTGTTAGTCGGGTACCTATATAGCTACCAAGTGTTTTCAATAATTAAAATTTATAATATTATAAATACTTATATAAGCAGATAAATACAATTTTTTTATAAATAAAATGAATACATCTGATAATCAATAAGGAATTCTAACATTTAAACATCTATAACTTGTTTAAGTAAACAATTTTTATATATTTTATGATAGTAAATCAATCAAAATAAATACTTCACCATAAATTTATTTTTATTTAAAAATTGAATTAATTAATTTTAAATAAAATAGTTCAATTAAAATTTTCATTGATAATGATTTATTATTTTTTTCTTCCCGATAATCCGTGTATGGATATTCTTTATGAATATTTATCTACTTTTTTTGTTTATAATTGAAACTACTTAAATTTGAAGTTTTACTATGCACAAATTTTTATGATACAAAATTCACATTTTTTACCTTAAAAGACTAACTGCTAATTTCCTTTAGTAGATTAAATATTGGCAGGAGTTTTCAAAATAAATTATTTACGGAACCAAGATAGAAAAGAAACAACATTTTAAGTTACAATAGTCAAAATCAAATATTGAAAATTGGAATGTTTATTAAAAATGTATTTTATCATGTTTAATTGTTTTTTATAGGATCATTAAAAATTAAGTTTTTGTCTAAGCTCTTCAGTAATGATTTAAAAAAAGATTTTTTTATTCGTTTATGATGATATATTTATAAGTTAATTCACCTTGTACAGATCCTATTTTTTATTGTTATTAATTTTTGGGTACTTAATACTATTATGGATCCAATTTACAGATAGAAAGAGTGATAGTAAACGAGGAGTGAGGGAGTAAGAGAACATTTCAATATTATTTCCAACAATTCCTAGCGATAATTAATTATGTTCACTTTTTAAATTAATCTGGGAATCAATTCTATCTCTGAAATAATAAAATATTGCTTGTCAGTCAATTCGGATGTAGATTTATTTTTAATTTTTTTTTTTTTTTTTTTTTTGACACAGGAATCGATTTTGAAATACCGTAAAGGGGACTTTAAATGGTTCAGAACCAACTAAGCCATTAATTCCCGATTAAACCCGAACCAGTATAGGACTAAAATCTAATTTAATAGTGACTCTGCCATACCAGAATAATATTTATTCCGATCAGATTAAGACCCGTGTTGAATAAAATTTCTACAAATGTTTTTTATTCAATCGGTTTTATTATAACATCGCACGCGTATAAAATATATTAACGAAATATAAAGTTGAGTAACCCACACAGATGACTTTGGACACTTCATAAAAATGTCCAACTTATCTTTGTATTAAAAATCTTGATTATTAAACATCAAAGTGTATTACACCATTCAAGATATTTCGTTTGACTGTTAATTGATTTTGGTCCAATTTTTAATTTTGTTTCTGCTATAAATAATATTTTAGGCGTTTTGATAATTGTTCGTTTATATTTCCACGAAGAAACGTCTAATTATTAATAACTAGTAAATACAATTAGTTTAACCTTATACCTAATCTATACATTTAAGATACTTGAACCGTCATCAAGTTTAAAATCTAAATGTTAATATTACACTATTAATTATTATTTGTTAGCTGTGTTTAATATTGCAATAAATGGAAACAAATTAATACGATTATATAGTTTTTATCATAATTGGATAATATTTAGTTGGCATAACAATTTGTTTAGTGGTAAAATGATGTGTTTAGTTGAGAGTACTGATTAATTTGTTAAACAATTATAGCCACTGCAACAATATAAAATAGTATTTCAAATTAAACTAAATAAATTGTTAATAAAAAAATATTGAGTTGTTACAGTAACTATAATTAATGTAAACATCCCTTTAACAATATAATTTAGTAATGTTAACCATCTAGTACCTACTTAATACATAACAATTTACCTCCCTTCAAGTTCATTAATTGGAAGTAGTATCACTGGATGCTTCATTTCCTCACGTCGCTACGTCTAGTATTAAATTTATCTAATTTACTTATTGTTTTATTATGTAAATAGGTTGTAAATATCTTTTATTATAAAAAAAAAAAAAAAAAAAAAAAAAAATGTTAACCATACAATTTAGTAAAAGTATAATATTTATCTATGTATATATACATAATAGTATAAAAACACTTAAATTGTGTTATAACAAATATATTAGTATGATTTGAAATGAAAAATAGTTTATATTAAATGTGTAATGCAGTTAATAAAAAAAAATATTTTAACTTAAAGTGAAATGTTTGATTGCTAGGCAATAAACATATTTTAGCTGAAATCATTAAAAAAAAAAAAAACTGAAGTTCATTATGAAACTATATCTGTAGACGTTTACTGGTAACTAATCACAACAGTTATTCTGAATGACAATCGTCTATCAGTAAATAATTGAAATATTTTATTTATTTTTCTATTGAGTGAGATGCCATGGTGCATGATGTTTGAAAATTAGTTTGTGTTAATAGGAGAAAATAAATAATTGACTTGAATAAGAATAAAAAGTAACGCTTGAAGGAAATGAAATAAAGGTTGATGTGAGTAAATCAGAGGTAATGATATATGGTTTTGGAAGATATTATCAATAAATTCATGGAGTAAGGTATGTAATTACGTGTGAATTGATAAGAGTGAAGAGAGACGTCAGGTAATAAGACAGATCCAATAAAATATCTGTAAGGCTAGTTATGATACATGGAGCAGAATGCTGGTTACTAAAAAATAAAATAAAACAGTGAGTGAGTTTAGCCGAAATGTAAGGATTATACATTTTTTCATACCTATACAATGATTTATTATTGAATTCAAACTTATTATGTACTGAATTTCACTTAAGCAGATATTAGAATATTGAAAACTTTTTTTTTTGTTAAAATAGTTATATTTTTAATCAAGATTCACAAAGGAAAATATCACAATAATTTTTTAATTTGTTTTCAAGAAGGCGGAACCTCTTAATTCCCAAATTTACACCAACGGCTTAAATTTTTAAGCAAAGTATGCTAATTTTCAAGGACAAATAACATTTACAAATTTTTCAACTAGGAATGACTGATTTAATGAGGAATTGGGGAAAGTAGAATATATACAATTTTATGTTTATAAATATTTTGTTTTTTATCATTATTAATTTTTTTGAATTATTATTTTCAATAATTTATTTTTATAAATTTAAACAATAAACACACATCAGTAAAATATATATTTTTTTGGACATAACGTTCTAAAATTACAGCAATTATTGTTATAATTCCTAATATTTTCTTTTGTAAAGCTCTACTCAAATAATATCATTAACAAATAAAATGTATGTTCTAACTTTCATTTCATGAAATATTTTTAGCTGGGATATAATATATACTTGGCATTAATGTTTTTTTTTTTAGTTTATAGGCGGATATGTGATTAATGATTTGTTTTATAATAAATTGCATTTATGTTTCTTATTTATTATATTATTTTTATTAATAATTATTTCACATAAATTACAATTTTTCCACTTCTATGTTATACTCGTTTTTATGTTTTTTAATACTTCTTTCAAACCTTATATCAGCGCTAATTCTAAAAGGTTTATTTTAATGAATTAATAATGAATACACAATATACATTTCGCAGAGTTAATTGGTAAAAAAAAAAAAATATGCTAACAGACATAAAAAAATATAATAATATAATAAATATTATGTCTATGCATATTATAAAGTATTACGTCAAGTACTATAATATTATATAATATTTAGTTGTATGAAATATACTCTTTCGTCAGACAGTCAGTAAATCGTGTGTACTATTACTACCCGTCGGATACAGAACTCTGGTAATTTTGTAATGGCAAATCGTGTGTATAATAAATTTAGTTACATACATTCAAAATCGTATCTTATTATTATTGAATTATGCATAGAGCAGTATAACATATTATATTTTACTACTGTATAAAGATATCATACTTTTTTATTTGGATTTATTGTTATTTGTTTTAGCTAACGTAACATCCATACATGTTTTTAAAACAAAATAAAAGCTAATAAAAGTATATCATGCTTTGCGTGCCGTTAGTCTAAACTTGACCTTCAGCTCATACATTCCGTAATAATAATATTAGTGTATATTTATATCCTGCACCATCTCCCAATTGATGTGATATTATAATAATAATGTACATACGACATAACATAAGATCGAGTTTACTTTGTCGATATTTGATAAAGTACTTGGAGGTATCCGATTTTTTTGTCTAACATTTATTCTTACGCACATATATATAATATATATTATTATAATAGCGCAGTAAATTATTTATTTCGCTGTTCAGCGCATTAAGTTAATGTACACGAGTATTATATCTCTTAAAATTTCATTCAATCTCCTACGTCATATTTATTGTTTATTCATAAAATATGGGTATAAGTAGTCATAATTTTGTATTATTATGTTAATATCTAAAGGTTTTCTTTTTTTTTTAATGTAATTTATACATTTTTAAGAATATTGAAAACAATACGCTGCTAATGTATATAATATTAGGTATACGTTTTAATAAAAAATTAATTTCATCATTATTATAGGTATAATTGACTATAGTGATATTAAAAAAAGAAAAAGTGACTAATTCTCACTTTTTTATTTTATTTATTTATTTTTTTTAACTAGTAATTTTTTCCATTTATATATATTTATTATACATTGTTTTGTGTAATAATATTTAGTAAAGGGGTTTATTGTCGTATTTATTACTTTATCAGTATCACCAAGTCCAAATTAATTTTAATAAAATATGAAAGTACACTGAAGTACTGGACCCCAAAATACATAACTTTTAGTAAACTTATGTCAAATTTTATAGTTCAATCCTTAATTTACTTTAAAGATATGTTTAATTATTAGGTACTAACTAATTTTTAAGGTTATATAATTATAGTTGTACATACTTTTTAAAAAAAAACAAACAATAATTAATCAAACTATAATACATAATTAGTATATTATTTAAATTTAAATATCAATAATAATAGAAAATTCATCATGATAAATATACAATTTAAAAAAAAAACCTTTATTTAAAATTCTAAATTTCACTAAAATATATTAAGTTTAAATTTTTTTATTTTATAAATTTATAACAAGTTTATCGTTTGATTTTATGATAAAAACCTTTTTTATTAAATTTTTTAAATTCTTCAAGCAAATGCGTGAAAAAAGTTGTCCCTACGGGATAGTTTCTTCCTACACCCTCTAATCCGAGCTTGAGTAATATTGACCAGTTTCTATAAAAATAAGATATAAAACAGATAAGTGAAATCCTGTGTTATATTTTAAACCTTAGAAAATTATATTAATCAATTCGATTAGCGAAATTTTACCGGTATTGTTGTTTAATGATAATAAGAAACATACCATTTTTTAATTTTTTTAGCCTATACTCATTGGCTGTTAGAACTGTTTGGAGTATCATTCTAATGTATTTTGCACGTTGGCTTGTTGAAATTACGTTGGTTAAATTCCATATTGTTATTTTGTGGGTATTTTTACTGTATTTTAAACTATACCTTATATATTATAATTAATTATAGATTCTCGCGACCCTGCTATCCGCTGTATGTATATTTATTTGTTATAATCTATTGTTCTCTGTTTTTTTTTTTTGTTTTGTCAATTTCAACACTCCAAATAATGGATTAGGCAAAAAAAAAAAAAAAAATTATCAATTATAGTTTATCCAATTACCGTTTTTGCATCAAGTCACTAATCCTATACGATTTGTAAATTGTATTTTTCCTAGCTATTTTTATGTTTTCGAATACATTTTTTATAAACACACATTCAATAATTTGATTTATAAATTATTATTTGTACATATTTCCATACTTCTAATAATTATTGAACTTTTGATTAATACGGTAAGTATTTGTTTTATTTTCAACTTTAAAATGATGACAGAATATTCAGTATTAGCTATGTGCTACATTAAAGTGAATTACATATTATCGATCTCTATTACAGTGGCTATAGTAAGTTTGCACCAAAATTGACCCTAAATATATAAGTACTGTGCATAACGTATAATTAGCACTAATATTTTTGAAATGCATTTGTAATTTACACTGTCTCTGCTATAGGTATTGAAAATTAAAAATGTAATTTTTTTTTTTTTCGTACATGTTTAAATATCAAAAATTAACAACACATAATATTATATTTTAGATTCTTAGTAGCATTTCACTAATTATATTCATACCATTCTACGGTACGCCAGTATTCACTCTAAAGCTGCCTAATAATAAAATTAACATAAAATACAATAAACGTGAAAACTATTTATAATATTATAATAAATAATAATAAAATAAACGCATTATTTTTGTAAAAAAATTATAAATGTAATACTGTGTTATAATACAATTGCAAAAGATCGGACGTCAAGTTTTAGAATGATTACCACGGATAAGGCGACGAGCAGTTAATAATGCCAAAGAATATCATTATCATTCGAGTTCACGAGTCTCCAGGGGACCGATAAAATAGTTAAATGTACAGTTAGGTACTCTCCTTTTGGTACAAATTGCAAGCGCTATTTTTGACTACCTACAATGGTGCAAATTACATACCTTTACTTTGATGCGAATTATAATCACTATTTTTGGGGCTAACTACGGTGGTGCAAATTATATATCTTTATTTTGATGCAAGTAATAAACTTTTGTTGTAATCTATCCCTTATAACCCGCTCAATATGGTCCATTGCATCAGTACCGATATAATCGCATGCGCGCACTAGATACACACCATATATTGAAGTAGACTATTATATATTACAGATGTTTCCGACGAACTACCATTCAACTATTGGTGCCTTTGATCTTTCAAATGTGAGTATTTAACTGCCAATTGTATCGTGATACTTAGTTTTAATTAATAATGATAACAATACCTATTATAATAATTGAGTCGTAGATTTGTAGCCCACAGGGTCGCCTTCATAGTGGTAATATTATCTATATTACCGCATTAGAAATCTAAATCGTATAAATATTCAATATAAATAACAAACATCAATGGATAAGTTTAGTGTGTGTTCACTCAACAATGTAAATGTCAAAGTAAGAGTAGGTATCAATAGACAGGTTGAAAGCTGCAGATAATTTTGTAAAACATTACCATTAATTATTCGTAATATTATAATATGTATGATAAATTATACCTACTACTTACCTATTTAAAAAAAAAAAAAATAATAATAATAAATAAATATTTGTTGTGACTATAAGAAACATGCAAGTAAGTGTTGGTGAAAAATAAAAATAAAAAATGAATCAGATAAAATTTACCAAAAAATACTGTGAGGGATATTTATTTTGAAAATAAATAAAACAATAAATTGTATTGATAATAGTTGCTGAAAGACAACATATGATTTGTAAAGATGAAAGATATACTCTTATATTTATCTTCAATATTACTTCATGTATTATATATTCTTAAAAACAGCATTAGGTACAACTTGATATATTTTGTCGTTTGTTATGAACAGTAAAGAATAATAAATTATATTTATTTTTAATTAGATCTTGATTATAACAAAGTTGATTTTAGCTCAGTTTATAAATTAATAATTGTTTTACGAAACTAAGATTTCGTCGTACGGTTATGAAGTATTCATCGTTTTTAAATTTGTAATGTATATGTAATATTTTCCTTAAGCATTTTTTTTTTCAGATAACTAAGGATTGGAAAATTAATAATATATTTTAAAATATGTAGAATTTATAGGAATTTATTTATATTTTAGGCCTAAGGATTTAAATTTAAATTAGAGTGTAATGTTGGTATTTAATGTATTGTTTATCATTTAAAACTTTGAATAAACAAAATAAATAACTCATATAATTATAAAGTAAGTATGAAAAATATAAATAAGTCTAAATTAAAACATATAATTTTAAAATAAAAATGTTATGTTATATATTAACCAATCTTAGTAAAAAAATATTAAATACACTATTAGTTAAATAATACTGCAAGTCTGTAACAATCTAATGAATGAGAAATTAATAAATAAAACTTATGATATTTTAATTTATGATATACTATTTTAATATTATATTATAATAGATTTGTGTAATATTTATACATGTAATTTTCTTATAAATTAAAGAAGTCATAAACACAATTCGTGATAATTGCATCGTTGAGTGCAAATATCAAAAATCATTGATTAGTTATGAATTTAAATTAGAATATTCTAAAGATGATATTACTAAAAAAATGTTCAAATTTTGTGATTTCGCGTTTATAATGGTCCTTCCTGTTTTTGGCCTGATGCACAATGCATATGATATAGTCCCTAATCTGTCACTATGACGTCTGCGTGTCTTGTGTCTTTCTATAGTTACAACACAATAGTTAATTTTCACTCTATTCTTGAAATCGTTTAATTATGTTGCACGTGTCAGATGTCCCTGTGGTTAGTGCCTGCATAATATATATAGTGTACATATATAATAAATTGTCATTTTTACATCAATCACAACTATTCCTATTTAATCTACTTGTGAAAATATTATAATTTCTGATAAATCTAATAAATAATTATTGTGAGTTAAATTTATTATATTATAGTATTTATGTGTGTAGGGTTACAGATATCGTAAAAGTACATAGGTGTTTATGAGTATTATGTATATGATTCGTAAGCGGGTAGACTCGTAATCATAATATATTTATTTAGATAGTTATATAGTTTTTTTATTCTACATATCATTATAAATAGCAATAAACAAAAATATTTATATAGATAATATGATTACTAAAAATGTACTCAATTGGGAATATTTAAATAAATGATTATTATGTCTTTATTTTAAATCAACTTAAAGAAAAATTATTAATTAATGAAGTTTAATTTAATTTTATAGAATTTTAAATAAGTTAGTTAAATTAATAAGTTTAAATCAACTTAATTTTTAACTTATTATCTTATTAAATTATTATTGTTCAGGCTTTAATTTAATACAATACTATAGACAATGTGTATTTAAAGTACTACTTATTTAAAATAGAGTAAATTCCACTATATCAAATATAATACTGTTAATTTTTTTTTTTTTTTAATAAAAAGTCAATATAAATAAAAAAAAAATAAAATAAAAAATAAACTGAAACGAGTATTAAATGCTTCAAACAAACTTAATATAATAAGAATAAAATAAATGTAGAGAAAAACAATCTAGCAGTAGATCAATGTATTGTAATTTACAAGATCATATTATATTGTGAGAATGGTTTATATAGTTTTTATAACGCAGTAACGCCAAATTGTCTACCTAGCATTGACGTAGCTACCTTTTATATCATAATAATAATAATAATAATAATAATAATAATAATAATGAAAATATTGTTCTGACTTTAATTATAATTTATATCTAGGCAGTAGGTACTACTAAAAACTCTTAATTGGAATGAAAAATATTTTAATACTTATCATCAAAAGACATTCTTATTTTTTTTTATATGTTTTCAGAACGACATATAATATCATTTAAACAAGTTTTAAAATTGCGCTAGAAGTAGTAATGATAAATATAGTAATATTTTATAACTGATTTTTTAATACAATTTTGAATTTACATAATAATCAACAACGGCTAAGAAATGGGATTGCTTAAAAAATACTTTGAAGTGGTATTTAAATATATTATTTACATTTTTCCTTAAGTTTTACTATTGCTTTTATTTAAATACTTAAAAGTACTTACTTTAAATTTTCGGTGAAAAGTCCTCAGAATACTACAGTCTATGAGTTGTATAATTGTATTGTTAACATACTTAAGAAAATCTTTAGAGGTGATTAGTTTTAAACATTTTAATATTAAGTCATATATCTCATTCGTACCACAAAAACGCAGAATTTTAAAATTGTTTTAAAAAAAATACATCTCATAAAATAATAGCAGTTGTAAATTTTTAGTATGAATTTAAAATAATAGTGATTTATTTTTAAATTTTATGAAATTGTGATTACTTACTTGTTTAAATTTCGTTAAATAAAAATTATATCTTTGGGTATTAAGACTTGACAATTTAATACGTGCAGTAACCCACATTTTTTGTTTTAAATATAAAATGGGCTGAATCCTAGAACAATGAAGCATTATAATGGATTATTAAGGTACCTACATTATAAATATAAGAATTTAAAAATTCAGAAAAAAATAATAACGATGTGTAAAATACTTTAGATTAGTAGAAAGTAGAAAATAAAAAGTTAAGAGTTCAGTAGTGGCTAATAACTACGTTGACAATGTAGTAATAAACAAACCAACTAGAGAGCAGAAGATAATGTAGTTAGAGGGGGAGGACTATAACTGTAGGAGCTTGGCAAGTTGTATCATATAGATTAAACCCCTCAAGTTGATGTTTATCAAGAATTCAAACAAATCTAGTTTTATAAAGTAAAAATATAATGTTTTTCAAATTTAAATGACTAAAAATATTTTTAAAACCCTAATTGAACTGCAAGTAGTTGTATTATATTTAAAACATCTTATTATAGCTGTTAAAAGAAAGTGCAATTGTTGAATACTTATGTTTAAGGAAAAATATTTTTCTAAACAAAAGGTATATCAACATTAAAAAAAAATTTATAACTATTTTTGATTTAAAATTGTGGTATCGTTTGAATTGATAAAATATAGGTATATTTATATAAATATTAATATATTTAAATTATATTATTTAAAAAAAAAATCTAAATTAAAATGTTTACGTTAAATTATGTGTTTTAATTTAACATGTGATGTAATAGGTAAACTCTGACATAGGTTAGATTAAAACATACCTAATACCGTTATAATATAATGATGAACACACTAATTATTTTCTAAAACAATCAATCACCGGAATTCAGATTATTATTGACGGTGAGAAAGAGCAGTGATAACTTCATGTAGGTTTGTACAGGCTACAGTAGACTTATAAAATATTAGCCAATTACGCTAATGTCAAAAATTCGAAAGACAACGCCCGGAATTCACCAATATGCCAGCCAGTAGACGTTTCACATACGTGTCCATGAGTAAGGGGTTTTGTTTAGGCAATTATAATAACAGTCGATTAAAGTTTAAAATAAAAAAATGAACTGAAATATCAATTTGTCATTATTGAACAGCTCGGAAATTAAATCGTTATGGACATTTGCGTGATTCTGAAATCAAACAAAAATGCCTTAAAACCTATTGATGTATATTATTTTAGTTCTTTGGTGATTTTTAGAAAAAAAAAATACGCTAGTAGATACGTACTTATCTGCCATATTATTCTTAACCACTGTTTTTCTGGGACGTCTCGAATAATATCGCATTAAATCTGAGGTATTAACCGCGATTAAAACACTACCTACTGGTCCTCTACTGCAACCGCCGTTGTAGTAATGGCATTTTAATTGTAGCCATTAAATTATAGGTGTAGGTACGCACTATTTGTATTATTGCGATTTTCCGCCGGCAGTCCGAACGAGACGCCATTCAAAACAGGACTTTTATTATTATTGTATTAACGCATTGCCGCCTCGCCGTTTTAATATTATTATTATGTCGTTTATATTGTTTCCGCATACCGGAAAAACAAACAAAAGCACAGACTCACTGAAATACAGTGATAGAAAAGGCTATTAAGTATACGTGTGGTGGCGTAATCGAGCGTCAGCATTTCTTCGAATAATTTAAACGCGATTACTATAAAATATGTTTTTTTTACACCGCTTCAATGTTACAATATAACACTCAGAGTTAAAACCACTACTCCGTGTGGTTAAGTCTTTTATGATATTACGATTTTGGTCGCTCATTAAACTGGCGTTTATCACGCGTGTTGAAAAACGGAACCTTTCGCAACGTTTTAATGAAAAATTATGGACGAACGTGAATCTGTACAGCATTCAAATTGCATTCAAATTGCATGCCAATAATAGTGTCCATATCACATGATGTTTCGTAGTAGGTGGGTCTGTTCGAATTACATGGTATAAGCACCATAATATGGGTTGTTTGATATGTATCTAATATACATTAAAATTGTATACATCGTAATGATTGTATTTATTTTGTACAATAGGTATATACTATATATACTTAAGTTAAACATTAATTTTAAATTTTAATTTTTGAGTTGCTTTCATAAACTTTTAGTCTAGAAATTCGGGAAGGGTTATATTATATTTTTATTTTATTCTAATATAATTAATTAAAATGTATTACATTTAAAAATAATAAAATATTATTATTTATTAATGCAACATGCCATGAATTTATTCCTTTATATTGAATTATAAAAATGTTCGTACTAAAATAACTTGAAGAAAAAGTTTACTTAAAACAAACATTTTAAAGATTTTATATTAATATTTTAATTTCTAATTCTTATTTAAACGTTGACTATTTAATTAAAAAAACATTGACTATATTAATTATTTTTATATTTTTTTTCTGTGTGTATAAACATTTAAAATGAATGAAATTTTTATTTCATAAAAGCATGTTTTTTTGTTAAAATGAATAGGTTGTAAATAAAACTTTTCTTAGCTCACAATTTAAAGAATGATATATACATAAAAATTAAAAAAAAAATTGTAAAATTTTTGTTTACATTTATACAATCATCTTAAAGGTATTCGTTTGTCAATTAAATAGCTATCAATTTCTATTACTGTATTAGATTTATAACATTATCTCTAAGACACGGTTAAATCATTCATCATATATTTATATATCCATATTAAATTTGGTTGCCTAATGTTAAACTTACAATGGTATACTCATACCTAAATACGCTGTGTATCGAATAAAAATCTAGCTGTATATATATGCATATGAATCTAACTTACATTTTGGGAAATACACTAACTATTTGAGTAAATAATAGTAGTAAGATAAAACGTGGATAATAGTTATGATCAATATATTTTGTATTAAGTGAGACGCATAAATCTTGATCATTACAATTTGATGTATTTAGGTTTAGGAGTTTTCAACAAATATCTAAAATTATTTCTTTTCACGGGAATCAGAATACAACCTTTGGCTGAAAACGGTCATGATGATAACAGGTGAAGGTAACTTTGGTGGAAAATGAAAACCTCTGTTCAGAACACTTAATTTTTCACAAAATGAATCAAAATGTTTCTTAGCAAAGACTGATCAAAAAAATGCCACTGATAAAAATATCCCCGTATTCAATTAGGTCCTCATGGGAACATTATAGTATTTTATTTTTAAAACGGTAAAACGATAGGTTCAACAAATTTTTGCAAAAAAAAAAACAAAATAGCTCGTATTATAATATAAGTAATAATTATTGTGAATGATATTCATTCATATATTATCACTAGTTGTGATTTACATATATTTCGAAACCTATATACCTACTCCAGACCGATGTGAGTCGGCATAGGTTTGTGGTAATTACCATTTGAAACATTTATATAACTTTAAACAGTGTAAACTGCAATAATGAATATTATTATTTTCCGTACATGATGATCTTTAAACAATATTAGACTAATTTCAAGCGGTTATAAATAGCACTACAAACCTAAAAAAACCATTCCACGAAACATCGATACCCATAGACCTATAAGTTAATAACAGTAATTATTGTATAATATATATAATGTTTTTGTCAAACAATTAAATCTACTGCGTAAGTGTTACATAATATATTTATATCATACAATACATTTCTAATTATAAAATTTTCTTAGAAATAGACGATGTCCTACTGCACGTTTTCTCTCAAAATCAATTTTTGTTTATCAATGATTTATAAACTGCCATTGAATTAAAATTTAATACAACCATAACAGTAATCTACCCAGTAACGAGGTTCTTCGAATCCTATTATTTAGCAAAACAAGTTTTCTATTTTTTTTTTTTTTAACATAAGATACTGCAATTAACACCTCTGTACACTGAACTTAATAATATATGAATTGAAGTATTTAATACATTTTATTTTTTTAACAGATAAATATAATTATTTAATGTTATATTATTAAATCGTACATGTTACTTTTCAGTTAACCATTACAATAATTTTAGTTTAATTATTATTATTACACATACACCGCAGTACACGATAATTATAATACATATGTAATGTGTAATATACAATAAGGAAACGGATTAGTATGGTAATTAGGTTTATGGTTTTCATTGAATCGAAACCTGACAAGTTACGAAAAATAACTAATTATTTTTATAAAAATGGTATGCAAATACTTTTATAGTATTAAAAATTCAAGCGCGAATATTAATTTCACTAAGACATCATAAAATTATTTTAAATTGATTTGTATTTATATAAATCATTGTCTGATTCGATGTTAAAAATGTTGTACCTTGTACTAACTGTCTGACGGACACTTGAATGTATAAACGCTATGAAATGTAATAATATTTGGTATTAACATAAATTTAGACGGTCACGGTTATTTTATTTTTTAATGCTATGTTATGTAAATTATAATAATACTATATCTAAACGTTTTCATTGCTGCAGTATACCTATTAAATTCTTACTTCTAAGTAAGCATACAATTCGTTGTTTAAATATACTTGTATGTTATGTACTTATGTATAAGTAAAGCAAAGTAAAAAGGGTTTAGTAGTTGTGTTGATGCTGGGTTAAATGTTTGTGATTAATATAATTTAACTGAACTGATATTTTTTTTTCCATTTCCAACAACATATCTGCTAATATTAGTTAATTTATGCCGATTTAGTATTATTTGTCTTTAAACAATTTTTCTATTATAAAACATGATACTTGCTTGTAACTAGATGAAACTATCAGATATATACCTAGGTAATTAGTAGGTATCACTAATTTTATTTCTAGCTTTAGATAGTTACAAGAAATTATACTCATTAAACTCAAAGGCAGTGCCATACCATGTACCTTATACTCAAAGAATAAATTACAACATACATATAATAATTGATTAACTATTTACATAATATTAAATACTTATGATAAATTAATTAATATACTTGTTATTATAGTAATATTAAATAATTAAACTAAAAAAGTAACTAAGATACTAATCATTGATTTATCGCAGTTTGGTATTAATGTACTTATTTTTTGTTACCTTAAGTTTGATAAACTTGGTTTTGGTATACCCATTATTTAAAAAAAGTAAATTTTAGATATTAAATTGGGTGATGAATGTATAAATTCTAAAATGATGTGTTTTTTTTTTTTTTTGTGAATGAATATACAATATAAGTTGTAAATTATACAAAATCTCAAAAAATTGCAAACTATTTTCAATTTTGTAGTTTAAAATTTATAAAAACTTTTTTTTTTTGTATCTATGTTTTAAAAATTGAATACAAGATTCTTTATAAGTAGTTCATACTGAAACCATATAATCTAAAACTGTATAAAGACAATTATTTTTTATAGACATTTTAAGTTCAGCTCAGTATTGTTATTCGTATACAATGATTTATTATTGAATTTAAATTTAACAATTCTATAACTGTGACTCACTTGACACCTAATGCACAAAAAGTTGTATTTACTTATTTACCTTTTTTTTTTAGTTTTACAAAATATCTTTAAAATAAATCGATTATTTAAAAAATAATTAAATTTCAAATTGGACTTTTACGAATAATAATAAACTTGTATTTAAAATTGTACACAGACTTTTCAGTAGACTCTAGTTGTGTTGAAATTATCAAAAGTTAAATGCAGTAGTTCGTTTATGCAAAAAAAAAAAATTTTTTTTTAAGTACATTTAACAAAATTTGCAGTTTAAGGGGATCGAAATTCTTAGTATTTTTTTAAATTTAAATACATTTGTGCTTATTATATTATTGTATTATTGTATTATTTATTAATATAAATTCTGCATAAACCATGCATTTTTTAAATCATTATTCACACTTTTATTTATACAAATATTAGTCAAACTAAGTTTATGACTATCTTTCAAAAATAATTCCAAAAACATACACTTGCGTAAATATCATATATTTTTATATTAAGATATTAAGATCAATTATATGATAAACTGATATATTATATTAAGCCATAAATGTTATAAAATAAAAAAAATATATCCCTTAAAACCATCTTGACAACATACTATACATTTAGGTAAAATTATTTTATTTTCGTGTGTTACAGACTTATACCCACATACAACGATGGTGACGAAGATGATGGGTCAGTGCTGTTTTGGATCTTAGACATTATCGAATACTCGATGTATTTCACAACTGTATACCTCGTCAATAGATTAATAATTTTGATGGACTTGTTTTGAGAACGAAATTAACGTATTACACGATAAATTACTATTTGCACCATGAACTTACGAAAGTTTTATGGTACGAGGAATTATAGGACATAATATAAGGTGGTACTTTTATCACAATAAAATGTTGTTTTTATTTATTATTTAATTTTGAGAGACCTTAATATTGTTGTACTTGTACGAATAGCGTTTTACACCTATAGTTGTGTAGATTTTATAATATCTACGTATATATCTAAATAATTAAGAAAACAAAAATATAGTTATCTGCTGGATGCAGAAACGCGCTGCCTATTATGCAAGTTAAAGACATTGAGAATATATAATTTTCGCGGAGTACAGACATTATTAATAATATAATATAATTATAATATGCTATCAGCAATTTTTTTTAAAGTACCGACGATGAAATAAATACAAATATAGGTAATAAATTTGGGTATATTATTTAATATGATCGATAGGTACTTCCTATTCCTGTAATTGTATCATAATGATAAACTATTCGTACAGTTCATCAGAATTTAAGCTATTCCGCTAACATCTACTTTACTGTCCAATTCGTCGTTTCTTAAGGTTGTGGCATTGATCTATTTCCCTCATAATAATATTACGGTATAATATACAATAAAATTATTACTTATTTCGCACAGCGTAATACTACCAAAATAAAATTATTTTCAAGCTAGAAATCTATACAGAGGGTAGATAACTCATCAACAATATTGTAGCTTAAAATTAAAATGTCGTATCCTTGATCCTTTAAATTATAATATACATTTAGTGTCCTTTAACTTTTGGACCAAAGAGTAACTAATCGTTGTTATTTAAATAATTTTTACTTTTAAGGAAAAATGCAACCATTATATATATATAGTATATATTATATACATATGTCATATACCTATATATATTTATTTATTATTTAAAAAATAAATCATAAAAAAATGTATTTACTTAATAAATATTAATTGAAAAGGTGTAATATGTGGTCGAAAGAGCAAACAAGAATATTTGAAATTCTAGATATTTTTCCATACTGCAAATATAACCTCCCTCCTTCACCATTAAACTTGCTTTGAATAAGACAATCAAAAATGTATAAAGAATTATTTATATATCTACAAACTACAGAATATAGAGTACAGAAAAATACAATATTTATCTAGGTTAAATAAATATTATGGCGTAATTATTTTAATTCTAGATAATACGATTCATAGTTAAATTTATTGTGTATAAATTACAAAAAATAAATACTATTATTATTTACGGCCAACGAGTATAGGCAAATATTATTGTGATAGCAACTAAATAAAATTTTTAGTCAACCTACTTATTAAATTAAATTTGCTTTTTTATAAATTAAACTCATGATGTTTAACCCGTAAAATGTATTACTTTAAATTTTTTAAAATTATAAATAGTAATTTATTAAATAGGCAGATTATTTTATTAGTTTTAATTGGAATAAAAATAATTTTCACTTTTTCTGTTGGCATTTTTGTGTCAAGTAGTAATAATTAATTAAGTAAAAATGTAAAAAACACAATGTATGCAACATGACAAAAGAAAAAAATAGTAATATCACTTTAACACTAATACAGCAGAATCATCTAACTATAAAAAAATTATGAATTAGCTTATCGTAATAAAAATTTTCAGTTTTATTATTCTTTGACCAGTCAATAAGGTTAAGGTGTATAACCGTTATAAAAAAGAAAAAAAACAATAATATATACCTATACCGTTATACAATTTTTGTCAATACATAATATTATTATTATGTAGTAGGCATGTACACAATATACACATAAAATGGAATTCGTGGGATTATTGATAAACTTTACAATTAGATGTTTGGTTTTATGCAAATAAAGATTGTAAACATATTTTTATTTTTGTGCATTTTGAATAAAATCCATCTAGATACGGTTTTAGATTCCAAACGGAATATTGAATGTATTGATGTTATACTGATTGTATTATTTTTAAATTATTTATTACTTATTTCTTATTTGCAATCACCATTTGGAGCAGAAAAATGCTTTGATTTTAAATTGGTAATAAATTGGATCTAGTTGGAACTATGGGTGGTCAAAAGTAAAAACAATCTGTACCTTTTATAAGATTATCGAAAAAAAAAACAATAAAAAAATTAAAAAAAAAAAAATAAAAAATAGGAAAACCTATCCATATATTAATTTCTGAATATATTTTTCTGTATAAATAAATTATGCTGAAATATTATACATCAAGACTGAGTTTAGTGAAATCAGCATACAATTATTTTTGTATTCAGCCAAATATGTTCTACAGCTTTATGAATTACTATTTCAAAATCAACTGTAACTTATATTTTACTTTTTATTCTTTAGTTTAAATTAATATTAAACAAATTTATAAAACTAATAACTTAAAGTAAGTGTTTTTGATAATGCAAATTTGGGTGAAAAGTCCTATAATATTCTTGAGCAAAAAACAAAGTGTAATTTTTTAGATGAAAAGAGTTTTACCCTTTTTTATGAGATGATAAAGATAATGTAATAATATTTTACTTCCGACAAAATATAACTAGGAAAATCTTGTCTTTAGCAGTTTAGTATAGATGAAACAAAGAGTATAAATACATATTTTAATCTGTGAACTATAATGATGTACTCTTAAACAGCTTGTTAACCATATAACTCCAAAATTGTAATTTGTATAGTTGTAATAGTAAATTATATTATTTTTTTTTTTCTAAACGATCAAGCTGTATATAAAAGTTTTGGCATTGTAGTCCTATTATTATTTAAGTTCTGTATATACTATGATAAACATTGAAAAGAGTAAGAATTTATTCTTACTCTTGCACATATTCTTCTAAATTAAAAACAAATTTATCGACTTATATATTATATTTTATTTGATAGTGGTCTGCAGTCACTACATACTTAATTATTGATTCAAAAAAGTGTAATCACTGCTAATCGTTTTCTGTTGCTGGTATTCTTATCATGACTGAGGTCATGTCATTATCCGTGTTTATGTGTGTATAGAGCCTAACAAAATTATCAAAGCTGTCGAAAACGAATTTGAAACATTGTTTTAGAAATTGGGAGTGAAGTATCGAGTATAACGTTTTATAAACTCTAATAGCTTTTTTCCTATACGCGTCTGAGGTCAAGGCATTTTTAAACCATAAAACGAGTGATATAAGATACGGCGTGAGTTCCTTAAATGTATCGACAAGGGATTCCTGTTGTGTCGGTGGAACGTCGGAAATCGAAGTCGTTGATATTAACCGCGACTGCGTTTGGTTAGCAGAAGGTATTGATCTCGACCAGGATTTCACATCGATAGGCAAAGATTGAGTGGAAGGTTCAACATTGGAAACCGTCATTACTGTGGACGATTCAAAATGTTCCTTAACAATTGTTGATTTAGAAATATCTGAATTGTCGGTGTTGTCTGTATTTGTTCCGATTGACGTTGTTTGATGATTATACAACGCGCACAACACGTGCATTTCTGACGACTCAAAACTATAAAACAAACATTACGGAACAATGACACGTGCCAATTCCGCAGAATGATGACAAATATTTAGATAAATGTAAATTTATCGTAGACATTTAAATTTCTCTCTACCCACTCTAAGCTGCACCCGCGCTGAACTCACTCGTAGGCCATTCGAGCCCGGCGACACGTGACCATCATTCTGGTTAGCCGAACGCCGATTTTTTGGAGGCGTTTGTCCGACGGATCCAGGTGATCGGTCGTGTAATTTTGCAGACGATTGATCAACATTTGGATCCTTACCGCGGGCGGCACGGCCTCGAAGGCCAGCTTTTCGGCAGCGTCCGTCCATTTGCGGTTGTCGGTGTCGTCGACGGCAGCGGTTACAACCGTACGCTGTCGTTGACGTTGCAGCTCTCTGTCGATTGCGGCTGACACCAGGTCGTGCCTGATCGCCACCGCGATGATCACCAGGAACAGCGCTCCTGCGACTATGTACGAAAAACATGACAAGATCGCCAGAAGAATAGCGTAGATCATCATCCGGTTAGTAAACCTACGACAGAAGTTGTTATAGTTGTTGTCTGTTGATTCTAGCGTTTAAATATTTGTTGAAAACACTCAATTTAGATAAAAGTAATTTCTATCTCTATTTTATATATTTTGATATATCTGTATGCTCTAAATAGTAAGTACTTCAAAATGTTGCATTAAATGTTGTATATCAAAATCGATCGTATTTGTTTAAATTAGTGTACTACAAGGTTATCAAAACAATTGTAAGCCCATACTTGTGTAATCATATGTGCAATAACTAAAATAGATTACAATAAGTACAATAGAAAAACACTTAAAAAAAAAAACCAAAAACAAAAAAGAATGGCAATGAATACTATTGCTATGATTCAAAATTCTCAGTGTTTGAGTAACATAATGCTCATAATAGCTGTGATAAAATAGTATAAACAAAGTGTAATTGTTTGATTTTCAAACAAAAATGTAATCTGTTAATATTTAAAAGTTAGTTATTTTAATCAAAATTGATTATATATAAAAGGTGTTTTTGGTTCTTTCTTTTCTAATCGATTTAAAATAGTCATAAACTTGAATCGATTATTTTAATAATAAAAAAAATATATATATTTTAATTCCTATAATCTTATTAATACTTTATATAATGGCGAAATTTCAACTTAAAAATTAGAAAAGCTCATGTTTTTTTTTCAGATGGTCTACTGATCATGGATTAAAAACTAAATGACTTCACTGATAGTAATCCCTTTTCAATAATCATATGTGTAATGATGGGCTTTTGTTATATAAATATAAATTTATATTAACATTATTATAAAAATTAAGGTATCATAAATGGCATAAGTTATGAGAGTGATGTTTAAAAAAATGTGGGTTTTAAGTACACCCAATTTTCGCTTAAAAATTGTGTGTAATGCTGTATATTAGTGTATATCAATATTGAATATTATGTATTAAAATTTGAAAATGAGCATCGGTTAAACATTTCTTTTTCAATAAAATATGTCCATAAAATAATTAAATTTTCTTTTAAGTATAATTTTAGTAAATATATCATTTTTCAGTACATATTCATAAATAATTAGATAAGTTAAAATTTTTGATACCACGATATTCTAGTAGGATATCTGTAAGTTAATATTTATAAAAGGATATAAGAGGATTAAATGAAACAAAAATATGTATGAAATTATGTATTGATGTAATTGAAAACATTTAAAATAAAATAAACCATGATTGGTTACTCAAATATGTTTCAATGTATTCATAATTTATAATGTTTAATTAACATCAACATTTGTTTTGTTTTTTTTTTTTTTTTTTTTTTTAGAGGGGGGGCATTGAGTGCGCGTTGTACAGTATATAATTTATAGTCAGAATGAGAACTTTTTAGCCATAGAAAATATGTTGAATCTATACTTGATGTATGAATCATTAAAAATAAACTGTACGAGCTGTATGCTGAATTTTCATTACAGATGTGGTTTTTACAAAAACATTATTTATAATATATTATAGTATTATAGATATCTATTACAAGTAACTATTGTACAAGCCTTGTGTTTTAATCATGTACGTATCATGTTCGACAAATATTTTCAATAATTAATAAATATTCAGACTAGTGATTAGATTCTATTTAATAAGTTATTTACTTTTAGTTCAAAGACAGACGACATGTGGAATTTTTTGTAAAACGGATTTGTCAATAAAATATTTAAAAAAAAAAAATTAAAAAAATTGTTTAACAATTTTTTCGATGATATATTTACTTGAATTTGAATATGTAGCTTATAAAATCATCAGATTTCTGATTTGAAAACACGTGACACTAAAGGATTAGATGACATACGTTTAAGCTACATTAGTTTTAAAATTAATAATAATAAATATTTTAAAATATAAAAATATTATTAGAGCAAAATAAATTTTTAATTAATATTCTATTATTGTAAATTTTATATTTGAAAACAATAAATAATTTTGGTTGTCAAGGAAAAATTTTTTAAGAACTCAAATAATTTAGACTAGCATACTATATATTACAATGAGTACATTATATATATATATATATATATATATATATATGTTATATTAATTCAATGTAATATCACACGCAATGGATAATAATGACAAAATTAATTTGAGAAAATGAACAATTCATATTATTTAAAACAATGAATACTCTAGAAAAAAACTTAAGTTCATAAATGAACGTACAAAATATAAATGGCAAAAAATCTGGAACATACAAAACACAAAATTAAATGAAATAAAAAGAGACATACATCGTTGGATCAATCCTAACCTCAACCGTAAAGAAGATATGGTTCTCAATAGACTCCGTTCTGGTCACACCAGAATTACTCACGGCTTCCTGATGGCAAGAGAGGAACCCCCCATATGTCAAACCTGCGGAACCTTGTTAACAGTCAAACAACTAATAGCCGACTGTTTAATGTTCAACCAAAAACGGGCCGAGCACAAGATATCCTACAACCTAGACGCTGCACTTGGACTCAACCAAAAAAAAAATCTTGACCTAATTAAGTTTCTGAAACAAACTAAACTTTTCAATCTTATATAAAAAAAAATTACTATTATTAGCACTTATTTAGAATTATAAGCTTATTTGTAACTAATGGCCTTTGTTGTCGATGTTATTCTTTGCGATCAATAAAAAAAAAAAAAATATAATCGACTAGTTATAAGTTGTGTGACACATAAGACAATTTTTTTTCTTTCAATATGTTATATTAATTTCTTACAATATTAAATAAGTATATAAGTTTTAGAAAGTTAAAATAGCTTATAAAATGTGTACTGTATAGTACTTAAATTTATATACAAAAATCTCTATTTTATTTTTGTTTTTTGTTTTTTTTTTTAATAAAATATAAAAAAAACAAAAATAAAGAACAAAGTTCAAAAAAAAAAAAAAAAATGAATTTGAGAAACACATACACTTATAATAGTGGTATTATAATTTAAGTATAAATTAATTTATTTACATATATTTTAATAAAATGTAAATGTATGATCTTAATTTGTTATCTAATTATACATATAGTCATTGTTTGTTTATTGATTTTTTTTTTTTTTTTTTTGAAATAGGAACTTAATTAAAAATTAAATTTACTATTGAGCATGACTGAATCATGATAGGTTTCCTACAATTCCTTATAAATGTACCCACGATATCAAGAAAATATGTAAAATACATACAATCAAATAGACCCAAGTCTGTGTACAACTTAAACATAAACAAATAAAAGTATAGTAAATTTGTATTTTAAACAAAGAAAAATAATGAGAAATATAACTAAAATGGTTCATATAATCTAGTTTAATCAGTCTAGTACTGTTCAGTCCTCAAAAATACTAACTGCGTGCAGAATACTAGGTATATGAGAGTTCGTTAGTACATCAATTATCAATACATATTTTTGAATTTTACGCCATAAATAATAAACAATATAAAATTCATTTTATATATGTAGAGAGTATTACTAGTATAAATATTTTTCCTTCAAAATGTTGATTTATTTAAGTACCCCGGTTGAGAAGTCATCTGACAGCAAACTGTTGAATTTTGTTCAGTTAAACTATTGGTTTTATCTTAACTTTCTTGTGGATACTTTTTTAAGCTAAAAAATGTAATTAAAATTTAAAAGAACCCTGTCTGTCGATCGAAAATGTCATCTATTGTAGTTGTTACGTAAGTTAAGAAGCGGGTAAGTTTTCGAACTTTCTTACAAGTAGAATATTCCCTAAGCGTATAGGTAAATGGGAAAACGACACTGAAGATTTCGGTTATTTTTTGAACCTGATGATTTATCAGTGTTTTTAAATTCAACATAACAGCAAATAGTACTTTGCTATAAAACATAATATTATCCTTTTATGTGGATCAGTGCGTCACAACACATAAACTCGTCCAACTATCTAACTTTAACATCACAACGGATTTTTTCTGTCTTAAAACATGATTGGGGCCTACTATAAATACTATAAAATATGTAAAATACTCCCTATAAAATATTTAACGTTACTTTTTAAACTTAAATACTACAATATGTGTTAGCATTGATATAGTATAGTTTAGGTGAAACTTTTTTCGTAATATTAACACAAGGCGGATAGTGACTTTGTATTAAAACATTGAACAAAATTTACCGGATAAAATAAACACGGACAAAGAATTTTATATAAAAACACGATTGAAGTTAGTTGAATATCGTACAAATATTATTAAAAATCCGATCGTTCGTTAAGTGTTATTGATATGATATCAATATAGTTTAATCGCGCTGAAACAGTGTAATAAAAAAAAACCCCTATTATCAACTTCAATCTAGCTTTGTATTATATTGAAATTTAGTTATGGACGTTACGGTATACATTACTAGCGTGATGCATAGGTGCACGCCTTATTGTTCCATTTCCATCAACGTGGTTAAAGCATTGTATTATTAAAAACAAAAGTTCAAAATTTAATGAAAAAGTTTCTTCTATGAATGTTGACAAGTAAGAGAAACATGTTTTGTGATATTTAATTATCAAAATATTGATTAGGTCCAATATGTTCATACTGTATTATTACTTTACCATTTAAAACTATTTCCATAAAACTAATTGATATTCTTGTATCTAAATAGATGTTTTTTTTATTATTATTACCTAAAATAGAATTATCGAAAGCTTTAAATTGTACAGATTATGGAAGCTATACCACAGTCGTTTGGGAGAAATCTAAAAGATTCCTCATCGTAGTAAACGTTTTATCGTCTATTGCGTCGTGTTCAAACAATTTTTCAGTGATATATAAAGTTCAGAAATAATATCGGTCGTAAAAATCGAAAGTCTTGATTGAGAAATATTTGGTTTGTTATATATATATATATATATATATATATAAAGGTAAAATACTACTCATATGTCGTAAAATATTTTATAGTATTTGATAATTTTTGGATTTTGATGGTACTGTACTACTGTGCATAATAATGCTTATAGTTTATAGGATCAATAGAATAATTTATACAGGAATATTCACTAAACGTGATCACCTCCTTTTTCTTCATCAATAACGGAGTTAATTAAAATATATTTTTTGGAATTTACAAATATACTAAATAATCATATTTTTAAATTCTTAAGATATTTTGTGCTAAACGAAAACATTCTTTATCTATTATTATTCTTTTAGTGAATATATTTTCTAAAATCGTTGACATTTTATAAAAATCAAAATTCAAATAAGTAGTATATTTATATATCAAGTACAATAAGTTCATAGGTATGGACAATATGGGGTTATAGTAATTTGAAGAATTAATAATTTAAAATACACTTTTATTATTTATAAAAAATGATTAAAATATAATAAATACAACTATAACTGATACTACATCTATTTTATATTTTTACAAAATTATTTTTAAGGATTGTTCTTGTTATAAAAATTGTAATAATTAAAAAATAATTCGCTTAATTTGAAACATAATATTTTTCAAAAATATTGTCCACTAAATAATTTACAGTAAAAAATACGATTTATTATTTGAAGAAAAAAAGTTTATTGTATTGTCACTTAACAGATTTCTTTAGGTATTAAAATATATTAAAAAAAAATTAAAATAAATGTCTATAATAAGTATATTTAAAACTTCTAAAAAATTAGAATTTTAATAAATTTATTATTAAGTTATAGAATAGAGTTGAGCATGCTTCATGAATCACCTTGTTACAAAGATTTTTATTATTTGTCTTCTGCTATAAAACAAAACGATTGAAATATTCGATTCTCGTGATCGTATAACGATTCATTTCTGGTATATAATAATATCATTATTTGGTTTGGTTTTTCTGTATCTCGTCGTTATTTTTTGTTGCAGATTCAACGATGCGAAATGAAACGCTTAAGCACACATCCTCGAGCATAAAACACTGTAAAAGTGTATGTTCAGAGGCTAAAACATTAATTATTGTATACATTTTGGTTTATTTACATGAAAAAATTAAGTTTTAATTGATAGTACAAAACACAATGAACTACATTTTTTAAAACTTAGAACCTAAATACATTTTTCTATAACCAAACTTTAATATTATACACTTTATATCAAGGGTCTTTAACCTTTTTATGTAGCGGGCCAAATATTTTTTTTTAAATCTTGCGGGCCGCATTCGTAGTAAAAAAAACATATTTTATATAAAAATTCAGTTTTGATTATCACAATTTTTAAATTTAGGTAGGTACATTTAAAATTACAAATTATTATTATTATTGAAACATATATAGATAAATATTTTTTTATTTTTTTTATTACAAATTTTTTATTTTATTTTTAATGTGAAAACTGACAATGTTTTTCACTAACTAATTTTTCGATATTTGGTTAGATCTGAGACGATGCAATTCTAAGTGAATTTTCCAAGTGAATGTCAGTTGACCGAGCTCTAGTTTTAAATTTGCAATTTTCATTTGTGAAAAAATATGTTCACAAGTTAAAGTACTGCCAAAAAGAGACATCATTCTTAATGCGTTGTTTCTAAGATTAGGATATATTTCTTTAACTCGAATAAAAAAATAGCTGTTGGACAATTTTTCTTGAAAAACGCAACTTTTATCCGAGATTTTACGTTTTTTACTCACCGACATATTGTACAAATATTACGAAGAAAAAGTATAAATTGAAACTTTTACACATAAACGAGAATATTGTGCTCGTTCCACAATCTATTATGAACTAACAGACAATATTAGTTATATATTGTTAGATAATTCAATTTATCTTATTGCATATTTCCGATAGTGATAGCTTAATTGTTATAATTTTATTGAACTAGAAAATTTACATACTAAATTTAAAATGTGATCGTGGGACGGATATTATGACAGCGCGGGTCGTAGGTTGAAGACCCCTGCTTTATATTATTTCTTATTTCTACTTTTATTCCAATTTTAAAAGTAAATATATTTAATTTATGTTTGTATTTTGTATCAGATTTTATTTACGTGTAAATTAGCATTATAATAAAAACAAAATATAGATCGAAATAAAATTAATCAGTCCTTTCAACGGATTTACGATAACTTGTTAATACCAGTGGAAAAGGTTATTTATATAACTAATTCTACTCTATTTTTTCTACACAATAAATATTTTATATATATATATAACAGACTCCTATGAAAAATGTTTTTAAATTGTATTTATAATAAAATAGAGAATATATATCTTATAAGAATAGAATAATAGATAAAATAAATAAATAAATGTTTAATAAGCTATAATAATTTTTTTATGTGATGCATAAGACAGAAAAGACATATTTTGATGATAATGCTTAGATATACTGGAACTTATCAAGATCAATTGATTTAAATCTGAAACTTGAAAATTTCCCAATAATAATTGGTGAAATTTAGATTTTACTGGTATTCTGACTTTTTAATTTATAATTTAGGTTAGTTAAAGTACCAACATATTAGAACAAACTTATTTATGTGATTATTAATTTATTTTATTGTAACTACGTTATTATCAACAGATAACAGTTTGATGCTAACTTTTAAATATAGTTTGGTCAAGAGTAAATCAATTTGTGCATGCATGTTACACGGATAGTTT